GAATAGCATATATTGCAAGTAAATAAACTTACAAAATAAATAAGTTAAACAAGTATTTCTTATTTTCATTTTTGCGAGGAAGGATCATAGAAAGTTTATAAAGATCATTTAAAAAATTATATTAGTTATACGTTGAACGAGTATATTATAGCAACCTTAATCGTAATTTGAGCCTTTCCAGTTACAAAAGTCATTCTCACCATTTTTAAAAATCAATCCTACATGACAGTGATACATATACATGGCTTACTGAACTATGATCCAACCTTTATTCTTGACATATATTAATTATTATATAAATCATAACGTGTGAGTTACAACAAAAACATAATTATTAATATTCACAGTAAAGAGATCATAAAGTCTCCTAGTCCAAAGAAATGTACATTAAAAATTTGTAAAAGGACAAGGTGGTCAACGTTGTCCTTAGACAAATCGTAGTTTCGATGTTTGATTCTATATGAAAAACTGTTATCGTTTCCTTGCTATATAACGATTGTCAATGAGCTTAAGCCAGATGGGCAGCAAATGCGGCATTTAAAAATGTTAACCAAACGCCTGTGTGAAAGAAAATTTACTATAAAGATTGTTAATATTCCAGTATGGTAGTCTTAAAATTTAATTGATTATAAAAAACTTTGTATCATACATGATGTTACATAAGTTCAAATATTATGTATTGCACTTTCCTAATTTTAATTTCGATCCCACAGTCAAATACTATATTTCAATAAAAATTTATATTATTTATCAAATTATTTGTCCCTGATATAAAATAAACACACATCTTTGGCTTCATGCATAAGATTACTTTAACTGTAGATGAAGAATTATTAATTTTCTCTTTGTATGATATTGAGTTTAAATATGCACCTTATAAAATATGGTTTTTAAAAAATTGTGATCTTGGTTGTTAAAGATATATGTTTCAATTTGAATCTTTGTGCGTATAAGATTATGTATCGATCAAAAAATGCAAAAAAAAGTTGTAGTAAAGTAAAAAATTAAAAAAGAAAAAAAGCAAATAATCCAATGATCACAGTAATCTGTTTCCAACAGGTACTTCTGTGTGCTTTTGTTCGATCATGTGCCCATCTCTGAAAACTAGGAACTAACAGTTTTCACTTATTTACCATTACACTTATTTCATATGTCGATATTCTGCTATTAATCGATTGTTTTTACATTAATGCTGCAGTCACCCTGAAGTATTATAATAAAGTTTTGCTGGTCCAGTTTGCCAATCTGATTGCCATATTCTCGTTCAATTTCTCTCTTTAATAATACTGCCTAAATATATCATCATATTGATATGATGCTATTCAACAGACTTCATTTATTTTATTATAAAGTTACTCTTCATATTATTGCTATTAATGGGTCAGGATTTACAGTACCTGAACACATTCGTTTCTTAAGTTGAATTACTTAATTTTAACGTCATGGACCTTTGCACGGATCATACCAAATGCATCTGGTACGATGTAGCTATCATGACCCTAAAGGAATTCTTTTTTTAAAATTTTTGGACCCAAATGTTTGAAATGTGATTGGCATCTTGGAACTTCTATACAAATATTCACATATATAATTGCAATGATAGATAACCCAGAAAACGAAAAGCTACGGATAAGAAAACTTTTATACCATAGAGTACATTAACTAATGCTTAAGACGAAGATACCATAAACTGCCACTTGTTGAATAATAATCTTATATCTCATGTTACATTAAAATGTCATCACAGTATTTTGATGTACGTAGCTAATTATTACACTTACAAAATAATTGAAAACTTTCCACATGTTCAAGTCGTTTGTGGAGAATTAGCAATTGCAAATTCATGGCAGTTTATGAGCATTTTTTATATATGCTACAAACGGTATTCAGTAGAAACATTGTGCTCTTTCTCAACTATCATATATATATATTTTTTTCAACAATCAACGATTAAGGACATGAATCCTATGCAACCTTTCCTAAGAGCACTATCTATCTACTGTACATTATAACAATTATTCTAATTAGAAGAATTCATTTTTCACCATTTATAACATTATAAACTCTCTGTGCTCCATATGATAAAACATAAACACTCTTATCCAGAGCTTTTGTTATCTGGGACGGTAATGTTAGCATACATAACACACAATTTTGCATCGTAGCGTACATCTAACTATGTAAGAAAAAATAAATTAAAATTCTATGAGAAACTGACATTAATTAGAGACTGATTGCCTAGAGGAGGCTGCGTGCATGGCAAAATCGACGAGTGGATTACTTGGGACGGTAACGATGGAGTGTGAAGTACCACTGCTTAAAGTAACATTAGCAGAAGAAACTAAGGACAATGGCTTACAAGATAACTGATCAATTTGTTTTATAGGTACCAACTTAATTGGCAGATCTGTTTTTAACCTGACAGCTTCCGATACTGGTATAGCTTTTAGTTGAACACTTTTCAATGGTTGTATTTTAACTGCTGGTTTTACAGTAGCACTTGTATTTTGAATAATTTTGGTAATCTTACTCTCACCAACTCCTTGGTTGGAAGATTCATCATAGCCGGAATCTGACGATGAGTCACTAAACGTCTTACTTGCTTGTTTAGAGACTGTTGTCTCTGTACCAGACTCTACACTATGGGCAGGACTAGCAGACGCAGAACTGTGAGCAGGACTGGCTGATGCAGAACTATGCACAGGACTGCAACTTAATGCATTTGTTTGTTGTTGTCGTTGTTGTCTAGCTATGCAACCAATGCAAGGTTTTATTAATGAAGGATCCACTATTACTTCTCCATAGGGACCTTTGAATATTGTTCCACAACAAATGATCTCCCTAAAATAACATATATTTTAGTAAAAAAAAACAAACAAATATCTACGAAAAGATATTATTTAAGACATTATTTATAAAAGTAGATAATAGAGCTGACCTTTTAAAGTATGTTAAATCAATAAAACCATTAACAGTTAAATCATCCTTTGATTCTGGATCATCCTGCATATCCAGTTGCTTTTCAGTAACTGGAATATCATCACTACCTACAGGACTACCAGCTCGACTTGAACCCTTACTGCAATCTCCATTTAAATAATCTTCTAAACAAAAAAATAAGAATGCATTGTAAAATTATTTCTTTAATGATTTCAAACTTTTTTATTTAAAAATTAAGATTTTAAACACTAACCAGTTAAATCATCACTCATTGCTGGGCTTTGTTCTCGATCTCTATCTGTTTTTAAATACATATGCTTTTTTTTCATAATCTTTTCAAACTTTTCTGGTATATCTTTTATTTTCTTTTTATTTTTTGATTTAAATTTTGTTAGCGATTTGATACCAGGTCCTGCGCGTGCGTCGACGACCTGAAAAATATAAAATATTTGTTTATAAATAATAGTATGTTTAATCACCAAGAAAAAAAAAGTGTAGTAATACTTACATGTCTCCAATTTCTGTTACTCCCTGCAGGTAATTTTTTCCATCTTTTTACCAAAAGTACACATGCATTACAAATTTCTCCAGTTCTTCTTTCTTCAAGTTGGAAGCATTCCATAAAATCATCTTCATATTTTTTACTGTCTGTAAACCTTGAGCTACAGATAAAAAAAGAATTTGTAAATTATTATCAATTTTTGTTGTTATATTAATTAAAGTTATTATATTGCTGACCTGCTTGATTTGGCTTTACAAATGCAGCATCCAGTACTAGATCGGTACACCTTTGGCTTATGAAAACTAAACATTTTTCACGTTATTTTCAGACTGCTTCTGTAAAAGTCAAAATATTAAATAACATTTTTACACCAATGTAATGATATCAGATTAAAATTTTTATAAGATCTTACATAAAGAAAACATATCACATGACAACAAATTCATAAAAAACCAATAAAAGTTTATTCCCAACCAAATTCACTCCAATTTTTTTTTTCATAATTTATTATCGGTTTACGTTTATAACTGTAAGCAATTACCTACAAAGAAGAATTGCATATAGGTATAAGAATAAAATAAACGTCAACCGTATGTTTAACGCGTCCTGAAAATAATGTACCTTTACTGAAAACAGCATGTTTCGATGGTCGTGACAATAGTCGAAATTAGCTCCGTTCTGTCCGTACGATATGTAAAAAGCATATAAAAAGTTCAATCGCGATAATTTGTCATGACGAAAAAATCACAGATCGTCACCATCTTTATTATACTTGTTTACATCGATTCGTTGCCAGTTCTGTAACTAACACCGCGATTTCGGCTTGACAGTGTATACGTGCAAGACGCTACGCGCTGTGACGCACGCATGCTACTAGGGGGCGTCCATAATCTCACGAATCCCCACTTATATTACACGATAAAACTGCAAAGAAAAACAACGTGCTAAAGGAAATCGACACTTTAGAAACACTTCTTTCTGTATAGAATCACCAAAATCACCTGTCATTTATTATTTCACATTGTAGTTATATCTATGTAGAGTCACCAATTTAATATACCAAACAAAAAAGTATGTATGCAAATGTATCAGGATACAAATGTATACCTTTCCAGAAAGTTGTGATAATTTCTACCATATTAACGTCCATTGTCGTCGACTGAATTGCACTGTTCTTAAAGCGTGAACATTTACGTTATTTTATACTTGGATATGGTGATGAATGAAAATATGTATTAATTATTTGTTTCTATGTATAAACATGGATGTTTTATATTAACAAAATTTTGTAACTGTAAAATAACTTCATTTATGTGTAGCTTATACCGACTGTAACAGATACTGTACCACATAAAATGTAAGTAAACGTATAACTTTAATATCATTTAGTCCGGATTGATATCAGTCTGAAAAGAAGAAAGAGGAATAGAAAAGTGCGGTGTGCCAACAAAACACGAGTCTAAAAATAGGAAGCGTGAAACCACAACAAAGTGCAATGTGCTTAAAAATATGATGAAGCACGGAAGAACTTAAAATGTCATTTTTTGTTTCACCTATGAATTTTTTAAAACGTTGCTTAAACCGTATTAATAAATTTATACAAGTACATTCCAGTCTATCGTACAATGTAAATTGAATATATACGATGGAAAATAACAAGAGGTGTAAAAAGAATATAAAATCACTGATATAAATTAATTTCAAAAATCATAAGCACTATTTCTCAGCATTTTTTGACTGCAAAATATCTATCGCAATTGTTTATTCACACTTTATCCTATACTGCTTTTGTCTGAATTATATTTCAAAAGCAGGTCAGCAACGTCTCGTGGCGTATTACATATATATAACGTCCAATGAAAATTTATAATGTAAAGGGGTGTGTTTTACTTCGACAACTTTGTTGCCCATTTAGAAGTGCATACGCGAACCGGCGTACATTCGACATGCTTCGTAGTAAGAGCCACGCGCGGAGGCAAACCAGTTTTCCTTCGATATGCCGAATTTGCTCTATACACTAACCCATCCGTCCTTGTCTTTCTCAAGGATGATTTTACTCAGGAGCGTAACAGTATTTTCAATGATTCGAACTAAAATACCGTTGGTGCTACAGATACATTTTCATCCCATTACCATGTGCTATATAAGCATATCTTAATTGGAAACTCCCTCTATAATTATTATTAAGTATCATAAGTTTCTGTCAAGCATGCGATTATAAGATACTATTCAGAAAAATATAAAAATATTTGATCAAGATTAGATTTTAATGCAAAGAGTATAAGATACGTAATAACTGTAATTAATATAATAGTAAAACATGTTAATAATCAAATTTAATTTTTTGTGTACAGAAAGAATATAATGGAACCCCCGCAACGCATTATCTACAATCTTGAATGTTAACGTCTTTCTTGGTCTCAATGTACGACATATTTTTTACTCATTCTGGGAGTGGCGCCATCGGTAGTTGAAACCACAAAGTAAGAATGTTGCAACGTACTGTACGCAAAAAAATGTAAATGTGCTTTCGCCTCGTTGCAGTCAATGATTATAGTGGGGGACGATGTAAGGGACATCAGACAACAGGAAGGGGAAAAAAAGAGGAGGGTACAGCGATGTTGCCACGTGGTTTGTTGATCGGTTGCCTCTTCATCCCGATACGACTTAGATCTCTGACCCGACTGCACGCATATTAAATGCTATTCATATGTTGCGTATTTGTTTATAAATCGAATGTCAAGAGCGACACGAAACACATGAACCAAAATCAATCAGTAACAAATCTCGCGACATCTATGATTTAACCATCAAACTTTGCTGCATGATATCTACTCTTTTACACGATTTTGTCAAACCTTAATCTGTTTGCAATTATGATAAATGTAAACATATTATTCATTTTTATATCTTTAAAACAAGATATATATCAATCGAATATTTTTTCACCTTCTTTATATACGATTCTGAATTTTTTAAATACAAATGTCAGTATTTATGAATATGCCTATGTTAAGTGAATTAGTTATTTGTGATTATTTATAGTGAATTAGTTATTTGTAATTATTTATAATTACGAATTAATAATAATTGAGAAAAGTTTTGTTTATGGTATAAATGACACTGGACATTTTCGAAGGGATAAATGTAACAAAAGCAAAAGGTGCACAATGTCCGAACAACGTGTCCCTGACACGCTAACTCTCAGTAGTTCAACTTTCGTTCTCACTTTTACAGTTGCTCTACGGTTTTAAAAATAGAAAGAGGTACCATCCCTCGATGTAAATACAAGTCACTGGATTATATGCGTTCTTATAGAAATGCGTATAGACACATCATTGTACTTCCTCTCTATGTACATGAGATAAACAATGAATAAGATCGTAACCAATAATAAAATTACTCCAGTCTGAGAGACTTCGATTTCGTTGTGGCGATGTTTAACTATGTCGCAAGTATCTGATCGAGATGACCTACATTATGATAAAACAGGTTCCGGTATTTTGGTCAGAATAAAAATATCAAGAGATATTTCTCTACCTTTGTGATATGAACATATTGGAATATAAAAATGATTAAAAGTTACTAATTTTGTCATTTGATTACTTCTAAAACTTAAATTCAAATCCTGGATATACTATTAATATTTGACATTAATACATATTTGTTTAATCTTAATTGGCATAAAACATGTATAATGTACATATCTTCTTTTACTTGATTAATGCATGATAACGTTTTCAAACGAATTATAATCAACTCTGTAAATTGATTATATATAAAAATACTACATATTACGTATGAATGACCAATTTCAGAGAACTGTTATTATAAAGTAATGTTTCGTACAAAAAACAATTGAGTATAATAATGAAAATTACCAATATTACTGTCTACTATTGTAAAATAAAAGACTTTCGTTTAACATCATCGTTAAATGATCTTATAACGTATTTTTTTGAGATTTCAAAAATATTTGTTCAACACTGTTGAAAGTCAACAATGATATTATAAAATGGAACATTAAAAAACAATTAGGAACACTCATTTTTTAAAGTTTTCACGAAGAAGAAAATTGCTTATCGTGCATTGGTGTAAAAATGCATAAGTTTGAAGACCACGATCCCATCTAAAAATGTCTTGGGTCCTGTTCTTATTCGGCTTGAGGTAAAAAAACCTATCAATTTTCAGGGCATATATAACATTGAGCATAGCTGTTGGGCTCCCTTTTCAGGCATATTGGGCCCCTACCAAAGATCACTCGCGACAGGTCGTGTGCCATTTTCCCGAAGACAAAAAAAGAAATCTACAGACAAACGTGGTGCACCGAACGAAGGACGTGCGCGAGCAAGAGACCGACATGGCGCGTGGCACAGCATAGTCCGCCGCCATCGTCGATTCCTTCCCTTCCCACTATCCTAACCAACCCCGTCCCGATGTACAACACAGTATGTCCACTCGAAATATTCGATGAATGTGATACTCCCTCTAATTAATTTCTCAGAAGTTATTCGAACGATTCCTCTCAAACAACACATATGACAATACTAACTGACATATACCTTGAGCAAACAACAGTGAGAAAAGTCAGCGATACAATACCCGCCACAAGCGGGCACGCCATGACAGATGATACGGCACGCACAAACAAACAAGTATACTTGCCAAGTGGAACACCGCGCAGGTAAAACGCGGGAATCATTGTCGATCTGAAAGATGAATAACACATAACAATCGGTAGATTTCTATGATAATCTACAAACACCTTTTCTGTACGTTATTCTATGTCCTGTCAATGCAACGACGAGTGCCGACAAGGAAAAATCCATGAAGGTACGCGGTACCCACGATCTGGTGAAAGTTTCTCACTGCACTTGACATAAACCACTAAAATCTGAACGATTACAATAATGCGTAGCAAGGACGGATTATGAGAACAACCGATGGAAAGATCGGAATGAAAAATAAATGTCAAATGTATCGGTGATGATACAGCAGCCTGGCAGATTCTGAACCCGGAGCCGAAGACGCTGACATCTCGGAACATATTTATCCGAAACACGTGAGTAATTTCGCGTGACAATCCACAAAGCTGTTGACAACGTGTCGCGTTATCAATACGTCGTATTTTTGTGACACGTGCTCACGAAATTCATATTAAGATGTTGAGATTAATGACAGCAGAGTACTTACCTTTTCAATACAGGTGACGGCCAGATTTGAGAGTTCTTTTGCGCAGGCCCACGGCGCTGGCTCTGTTACATACTCTAGTCAAAGAGACATCCGAATATATCCAATAGGAAATTATAATTTTTGCTTGTCGTTATTTATTCTTTATTTCTGCTAAACATATTTTTTATAGGCAAATTTATTAAATATTCTGTTCGTGACGTGTTCTAACATATATGTAAAACTTAAATTATAAATTTGTTCTTACTTGTGTAAGCTTGATTTCCGGTGAGGAATTTGATTTTTGTCGGGCATCAGTTCAATGATGTACCACCAGGGTTCTGGAACAGTAAAAATTCCAAGTTTTTAAGATACAAATAGAATTTAATCGACTGTTATAGTTAAACATTAACATATAAATCTGTATATAAACGATAAAATTGCCGATATATACAGGAAAATGCCTTTTGTCAGAGTAATTCGAATAAAATTGCGGTAGCTTAGTAACAGTGAAAGTAGCGCCATCTTCATGGATAACAAACACAATGAAAAAGAAATCATGCGTAGATACAAATTTTTTAAATTTAATAAATCAAAGATAAATTTTATCAATGTTTAACATGTAAAATTTCATCCTTTTAACATTATGTTCAAATAACTAATTATGAGTCACTTATAGTTTATCCAATTGCGAGAAATTTATGTTAGAAGTCCAGTAATATCTTTTGAACTTCGAGTCATAAGACACGAACACTTAGCAAATATTCATGATTTGCCATCTATCGGCAATACATTTGAAGTAAGAATAAATGTTTTTACTTTGTGTTTGGTAGGTGGTCATTGAAATGAAAACAGCTGATTGTTTCATTTTGACGTTGTTGAGCAGAAATAAAAATATAAATACGTACTGCTACAAGTTCGTGACAATTCTAAAGCGTTATGTTCGTCACTTGTCAATATACTCTATAATTTATACTATCAACGTTTATTCTACGCAATTATAACTGCAATACAGTCTTCTAAGTACATATATTAGTTATTTGCAAATTATGGCCAGTTTAGTTAGTAGCTCTGGTAATCTTTATAATTTCAAAGTGGTATTGCTCGGTGAAGGATGTGTCGGAAAAACTTCTGTTGCATTACGATACGTTGAAGACAAATTTAACGATATACATATCAGTACATTCATTTACAGTGAATGTTGACATTTTCTTGAAAATTGTATATTTCTAGGCTTCATTTTTAAATAAAAAGTTGACCATAAATGGTAAGAAAGTAAACTTGGCAATATGGGATACAGCTGGCCAAGAAAAATTTCATGCATTAGGACCAATTTATTATAGAACATCAAATGGTGCCATTTTAGTTTATGATATTACTGATGAAGATACATTTCAGAAGGTAAGAGTTTTAAATATTTCTGTATATTTCTGTATTTTTCTTATATTCTGAGCTCATGTTCATTTTACAGGTAAAGAATTGGGTTAAAGAACTTAAAAAAATATTAGGCAGTGAAATTTGTTTAGCAATAGCAGGAAATAAAGTTGATCTTGAAAAAGATAGAAGTGTTTCTATTGAAGAAGCAGAAGAGTAAGTTTCTTTTACCTTTTGTTTTTCTTATATTATAAAAGCTGTTTAATATACAATTTTATTATTAGATATGCTAAACAAGTTGGGGCTATGCATTATCATACTTCTGCTAAGCTGAACCAAAATATTGAAGAAATGTTCTTGGATTTAACACGACGTATGATACAACATGCAGATGAAGCAGAACAAAAGTCTGCATTGTCAAGGACAAACAGTACACGTCGCAATGTTGTTGTAGTTGAAGATGAAGCAGAAGAAGCAGAACCAGTCAAAAGTTCCTGTTGCGGTGGTTCTTCACAAACATCTTAATTTCTTATATTTATTAAGATTGGTTCTAATTTTGAACAAGATATATAATATGCATGTATATACATATATATACATACCATGTAGAAATACATCTTAATATGTATATGTATACATATACATATAAAATCTGCTTTTTGCAGAATGCTGTAACATTTTTTTAATTAATATTCTTTTTACATAGCATCCTGAAATAATTATATAATTATTATAAAATAATGTTAAAACAATTTATTTTAAACTACATTGATGCAAATAATGTACTATAATATTTTAGTGCAGAACCAAATATGATTTTCGTTTAAGCTTTATAGTTTAAGCAATCAGTACATGTTGTT